AATTTAAATTTAATCAGATTAATTAATAAAATTTTATATGCATATTGAATTGAGACTTTAGTACAGAAATTTCGACTTTAAAAGTGAAGTTTGTGAAGCAATGGAACAAAATAATTTCAAAGCCTATAAGGTAAATGTTAAGCCTTATGTTATTATTAAAATTAATAATATAAATAAGTAAATTAATGTAATTAAATTTTATTTTGTCAGAAAGCCATATAGAAGATTGATAAATCCTTTGGATTTGAGGAAGAAGACAAATAACTTTAAAAGATGAGATAACTTTAAATTAAAAATTAATATTTAATACATTTAATTTGGAAATGATATTTAATACGATATTATTGTTTAACTACAATCTAGGTTGAAGCACATTTAAGCCTATAAGGTCAGGGGTTAGGAAGTCGGTGCGGCAAGCAAGCTAAGCAAAAGTATAATTATTTCTTGTTATGCATCAAATAAATGTTACTTTAAGTGAATAATTATTCTATTAAATAGCTTAAAATAAGCATTTCATTCATGTCTTATAATTTGATAGTCTTAAATGTATTAAAACTTGGAGGAATATAATGGACATATGAAGATGCATTTTAAATGATTTTAAATTATTTGAAATAAAATGCAAAGATTTAAGTCATACTCGATAAAATGTACTCGTGCACGTTAAAGAAAATGATAAAAGTGTACAGTTGGGTATAATATGATACTACCTTCAAGAATAATTTTAAGGATGATTTTGGCCACATTTTTTAGGATACTGTCGAGTGTGACGTAGTCCTGTGATAACTATTAAAGAGGTTAAAATGGTACATGCATAAAGTGAAACGGGGAGAAATAAAATTAAAGTGAAGGTTCAAGGTTTTAAAAAAAAATGAGCTTCATTTTTTGTTGGTCATTCATGCATGGCATAAGCATTAATGCATATTGGATCATAATTACTCACTAAGTCATACTTACGGTTACAATTAATATTTTCCTTCAAAAGAAAAAAAAACTTTAGGTTGATATATGTCTGGTAGAATGAGAACTGAAACTGATAGGTACTAGTTTGTGATGTGATTATACTTTTCTTTTAACTTCTATATAGAGACAATTATATGTTGATGTAAGACTATTAGCTACATATGATAGTTTTTTATATTTAAATTTTATTGCACTTTGAGAATTGATATCTCTTTTATATATATTGAATGTTTTTGAAATTTTGTAAAAAGAAAAATAAAATGTTAGTACTGTCCGACTGAAGTTCCCACCTTAGTTAATTCTAAGCACTAGGTTAGGTCGTAAGTCCTAGCTGGGACAAATTTGGCAATATAGATTGACTCCACCTATTCTCCACTCTAACCTAGTGCCTCCTCAAGCAGGGTAGGCTTGGTTGTTCCCCTGAGTGTACTTTTGTTGTAAGATCACGGGTTGAACTCTGCCTGTAAGATGTGATGGCCGTCCAATAATGTTATCTTCACTTTTAAATCTAAATTCTGCACATCCAATTCTTAATGAATTATTAAGTGTTGGCGTTGTATCTATTGTTTCATCTGGAATTAAGTATGCTGTATCTTTCGTTTCATCTCGAACTAAATAATGATCTTATTTTTGCCCTCACGCTTGCGTAGCTGCTTCAAATTTTGCTACTGAAATAATTCACTCTTCTTTAAATTGTTGGCGAATAGTTTCACCATTTCATCTGGTGAGACGTCCAAGTGCTAAAAAAAAGTTCAACAATCTGAAGTTGGTCAATGAACTCGTTAATATCCAAGTGATCGTCGAAATATGCCAAATCCACCCTTACCTCTAAATCCTGTCTTCTCAGATATCTCAGTTCAGTTCTTCAAGGTAGACGATATTCATCTCTGAAATCTCAAATAGGGACCTCTGTATCCTTTTACAAACACTTCATCTCTATAATCGAATGGAGTTCGAGTGACCCCTTTAGATGTCCTTCTTTCCTTAATTGTATCAAGCCATTGTATCACTCGACAAAATTGTCGATAAATCTCTTTCATGATAAACTCATGATTAGCGTTTGAAACTTGTCTCGACAGTGGCGTGTTTAGGATTTGGGGTGTAGGCAAGGGTGACGTGGAGTATAAGGATGATTTGAGTGGAAAAGGAGGGGAAAACCTTTTTCAGAGGTGGGAGATAGATTTGTGTATGGTGGTTGCTAGAAACCTAGGATAGGATTAGTGTTAGGCTAGCTCTGACATCAAATGACACCAAAATTAACCAAAACCACATTGGGAAAAGCAAATATTATTTCTGGAAGCAAATAGGCAGTTTAAATCAATCACACTTGAAAGGAAAGATACAACAACACAGACGACACACAAACTTATGCTAGGGCACATCTCGGGTGATGGTTGTCATGGCTAAGGGGCTTGGTAAGATGGTAGTAAGGTAGAGAAGATGTTTCCAGGTAATGGAAGAGGAGTCGTAGTGATTATGGGTGATTGGAATAGCAGGGTAGCAAGGGACGACAGTCCAACCAACAACAGTTTGTTGTTTGAGGCATTTGGATACTAAGAAAATAGCAAGGGGAGGCATGGCTGCTGCCGCAACGATGGTGGAGGGCTGGTATAGTGAGAGAAACAAGGATGGAACTGTGATGGCAAAGTATGGAAAGGCTGGAAGGTTGTGGCCTATCGGGAACAGCAAACGGGAGGGTTGTCAGCTGATTTGGAAGGACAACTGGGATTGTGGAAGGAAGGTGGCTGGAAAGAGGAGAACTGCAAGAAAACAACAATGACTACTATCCTGGGCAGCTGCAACGAGGAACAAGGTGTGGCAGCGAAGCGGGGGGTGTGGGGAAGGGAAGGTCAAAGATAAATACTTCATCAAGAATGACCTACAGCTAGAGCACCACTCGACCCTTGAAAGAAGGTCACCACCTTGAACGAGCTACAACTGGAGCATGATTGGCTGTTGGATAAAACCCTAAAAGAGAGAAACAGAGACGCCTACGGCTGTCCTGAGCCAAAAAAACAAAAAAGCTAAAAACGTAAAACATAAAACTCAAATATATAATTATAGGATAATTAGGAGTTGACCGGGTATACTACTCACATACTAATCACAATGAAAATATCACATACTACTCACGACACATACTCAAAAGTTTTAAGAGCCTCTTTAAAGTAGGCTTTGATAACAATTTGAAGAACATCAAAATGTTGGGCATACAACAAAACTATTATTAACAATAAAATAAATAAAAAGCTCCATATTTAGAAATACACACTTTCTTATACTACTCATAAAGATAAAAGACTGCAATACTAGAAAACACTTTTAACAACACTTATTATTCTTCTACTTCTTCTGTCTCACACACAAGCTTCCTGGAGGTAGAAATATTTATCGTAGCGCTAAGAAGTTTCAAGAAACACTTCACTATAGAAAGCTTCAAAAAACCTTCCACGCTAGGAAGCGTCAAATAACTCTTCACTCTAAGAAATTTTAAGAAACATTTTATTTTAAAATGCTTTAAGGTACTCTTCACACTAGGAAACTTCAATAAAATTGGTTGGGCTGGTGTTATATCTTCAACATATAATAGAAAACATAGCATGTTATTAATATCAGTCAAAAAAATGGTGCCAAAATTTTACTTTTACTAAATTTATGAGGCGTGACTTACAGGATTTCCTCTTTGGTTAAGCATCCTATAATACGAGCCATCTTCATATTAGTTAAAACATGATGATGGAATAAATTCATCTTCTGAGAGTTCTTCATTGAATAAGCAAATATATCTTACTCTCACAGCATGTTTGATTTGCTACTAAATACACAAGCCCGTAGTTTATTTCAGTAGCAAAAAAAAAAAAAAAAGTAGCTTTGTCGTCTGAGAGAAAAATGTTACCATCGGTTGGGTCCCCATTACTACTTTCCTAGGTAAAACAAGATTCCCTAACAAATATTAGAAGAAAAATATCTTGAATGCCCATGATCCATGTATGCCGTGCATCAGCTTTTATTTAGCCAACATCTTGACCCCAAAATTTATGGTTCGCAAAAATAGAATGAAAGCTGAAGTCCCAGCTCCATGTTCTTTCCCTACTGTATTCCAACCTTTAATTAATTCAACGTCTCCCAAAATTCCACACAAATATACGATGAAGCAAAAACTTTCACGGTGAGCAGGTATTGTGCAAAAAGAGGCTTGCGTTCGAAAATAAAAACCTTACGCACAAAATAATCCATGTCATAAATATAAATACTGAAAGAATACAATAGTATTAGTTAAAATCAAGCTTACCTAACTCAGTTTTTTCTATCCATATTTATTTTAGGACTATAAACAGATTCAAATTAATATCAAATTTAGCAGAAGATACCAAAGCAAAAATTGAAGAGAATCAATAACAAAAACAGGATCATAAATCTTAGCCATTAAAGTTGCATGCATATATGCAAATTGTTAATGGAAAACAACAAAAAACAATCAAGATGTATTAAAGACAAGCTTTCAAATACCTTTTACTTGCACTTCATGAATAAACATGTTTCAATGACCATTACTACACAAGATTGTCTCCAATATTAAACCATAATATTAGGGTCAAGTTGACAAGATTCTTTAGCTAAGAACAATCCTCGATACTTATATAAGAGCTACCATTCTGCTGTAATAATTTGTACCAACTTGAAATCAAATGTGTGTTAATCATAAAAACTAGAGCCTGTTTGGTAGCCTTCAAGAGATGCATCTAACAGGCAACTTCATCGAGTGAAAAAATTATATCAATTATCATCTTTATCTTTGGTTAAGGGAAAGCACAAAAGTGATGAACAATTTAAAGCATTTGCTAAATACAAAGATATTTGGATAAACTATGCGTTATATAAGGAAAGAAATCCAATGCAACGAAAGCCAAAAAAAGACAACAGCTAAGAGAGTATCTATAAAATCGCCCTCTTGGCGCATACAAATGCCAATTAAGAAGTCAGCTCAATGAAGCAATATGAAAATGGATAAAATTCACTGAATTGAGAAGAAAGCATTAAAAACCATAATCAATCACCTGGGAACAAAGGAGTATATATTGCTGAAGAGCAATGTTGTGGAAGAGAGGTCCACCATTTAGAGTCCTAATAAATTCAAAGCCAATATCAGATCGCTGCCCTGTTCCAAAGGGGAGACACGGCCATATTAGCTTGCTCTTCATGTTTCTTGACACAATATGCATATGTTACCGACCATTGCAACACTATATATTCACAAGTGAAACTACAGCTTTAAAAAAAGTGAAGGACAAGAATTTTCTTGCCATTCTACTCAATAAAAAAACCTAATTTTAGGTAAACAAAAGGTTAGGATGATATATATAAATTGCAGAGCACAGGAGAATGTTCTCCCTGCATTAGTCGATACACGTAACAAGATAGAAACGAGAACTTTCTAAGCCAATTAGGACTTGATTAGCATAAAGATGAGCTGCTTCAGATCCTCATCTCCGATTATGCCATACCTTTTTGTTCTAAGACAAATGTTAGAAACGAACTTCCAAAAATGCTCTATAATTGATTATAAATAATACACCATGCAAGTAATTAATATACAAAACTAACATGCATCATAAAAAAACTGAACACATTTGCATTGCATGATGTTTGGTTTGACGAAAACTTGTACATGCACAAGTGTTTACATGAAAAGTAACCTTTTTTGGAGTTGGTTTCAAGTACAATAAATTATTTCATTTCATAATTCACTTTATTCAAAATATTGTTACATAGTGGAGCCAAATCTGCATTTACTGTGCAGGAATTCACTTTACATGACCTTTGCTTTTGTAACTTAGTAAACGATCCATCTAGTACAATTACCTGCATCTTCGCCATTAAAATAATGAACTTGGCATGGATTTTCAACAGGCTTAGACCCTGTACAAGAAATAGAATCCACATTTTCTTCTTTGAATAGCCATTCTCTGCTTGCCCGCGGCGATTTAATTTGGTTTTCAGCAATTGAAAATAATTTTTGAATTAAAAAAAGAGATCCTCCCTGTTATTGTTGATATTTAGTTAAGAAAATCAAATTTTGTCTGGACAAAAATACTGGAGATGAAATACTGGAGATGAAAGATGATGGGAATTACTTGCCAAAAAGAATAGCAGCCATCAACCAACTTGTTAGTTCGTCCTTGAAACCCACATTCCAATCCATGACGAAAAGCAACCCAATCCTAAGCAGAAATAATATTACTATATAAAATTGAAATTGAGAAATTTTAGAAGACCTTAGCCACTTGTTGCACCAACAATGCTAATTGCATATAAGTAAACATACATAACAGTAGATATACCATGCCGGCACATATCAATATCCTCCTGTACAACATAAACTATCCTTGAAGCTTTCTAAACCAAAAATCATCAGAGAAGGTGTGGTAAATATGCTAAATAAAATGTAAAGTGCATGGGATATTTTTTGTTTTGAAGAGCAAAGCACGAACAAAGAGTGCGTTACAATTCACTAAAGCAGGCATCTAGCAACAAATAGGTTCCCAAGACATTAATACTAAGTAGCTAATTCAAGGTACAAAAACATTAAAAAATCTATATGCACCATAATTTTTTTTTGAAGATCTACGAACATTAGATCAGATAAAGGTTTGTTGTTGTATTATGATCCGATTAGGAGAGTAGATGTTTTAGATTTGACTTATGTTAAGAAAAATAGAGGTAGATCTAAAAAAACTTGGGCATATTGCATAAAAAATAATTTTAATTTATTAGAATTAAATAAGAATATGAAACTCATTAGGACACAATGGAAAAAAAGGATTCAAGTAGCCGACCCAATTTAGTGGGATAAAGGTTTGTTGCTGTTTTTGTTGTTGTACAAACATTAGATTAGATATTCACAAGGCAACATACAATTAAAATATAGAAAACAATGTAAAATTTAACTACTATAAAATATAAGAGATTTTATGCATAAATTTAAAAAGGGACAATCAATATGTATCATTGACATGAAATCCTGCAAACATAAAAAAGTACGGAAAATATTAGAGATTATTCCTGGTGAAAAGCAAGAGATTTTTTTTCTATATTGTGAGGAATAGTAGGAATCTTTTTTAATTAGCCAATCTTATTCTCTTTCCTATTTTTTCGTTGTATTATGATTATAAATTTCCTTGCTTTAGGATTTTTTTTACCTTACTATAGCATAAATCTAGACTTGATAGGCTAAAAAGAATAATTCATGAAAAATTATTACTTAAATTCTTGGTATCATAAGAGCATATAATCCAGACCATATTTTATGGCCAAAACAGCCATGATTAGTGCAACAAGAATGGTTTTGTATAAATTTCATCTGATTCATCCATGTTATCTAATTCCTCTATGCTAGCAATAGGAGGTGATTTTGCATAAATTAAATGGGATTAACTTTAAAAAAGTGGTCTCAATTAGTTAAGTTGGTGATTAAAGAAAGAACCAATCCAACTTACTCTCATTACTAAAATGCAAATAAAATGTTAAATCAGAGCAATAAATATATTTCAATCTTGAAATCTTGAAAGTATGGCGGACAGCTTTGATATACAATATGCCCCTATGAAGGCATTCCAAGGTACCATGATTGTAATCGAATATTTATGCTCTTATTGATTTATGGCAAAAGATGAGGATAGCCACAAAAACCATTGAGGCAGCCCTTAAGATAATTTGAAATATACCCAAATTGTTGAAAAGGAATGTGTATTTTACATCATGGGTTGAATAAGAATTTACATTAAGAGGTCAATTATTGAGAATAAAACATTTTCCAAATGTATGAGATGCCTTTATAGACCATATGACTGAAGGAAAGTAAAAAAAGTGTAGTGCTAGGCGGTCTGAAAGAGACGAGCATTGGATGTCCACATGCATAAGTCCACATTTCTTTCAAAAGATTAGAATTCAATTAAATCATGCAGCAATAAAAAAATTATTCAATATAGGTGTCATCATTGTCTAGGAAAGATTATCATATTAAAGAAATGTGCTGAAAATAATAAAACATTGGTTTTGTGAAGTAATGTTTATTTATGATAATTCATGGGCTATATTACAAGAAGCGCATACCCTTTTGCCAAGATTTGTGTGATAAATATCAAATTCTTATTTCACAAAAAATAATCAATTGCACAAACATATAATTTAGTCAAAACTTTTAGACCACCGTCAAGAAAGACAACTTGAATGGTTCCATCTCATCTAGGAACAACTTGAGCAATTACAAGCATTACTCAATCAATCTTAAGACGTCTATAGGTGCATGGATTCTACCCACAAGTATTCCAGTTAAATTATAAACCAAAGAGTTAATTGCTCATTTGTTTCATGTAATACCCAAATTTTGATAAGGAAGAAGTAAAAAAAATACTCAAAAAAATTATACAAAAAAATTCCACTATTCTGAAAACAATAAAAAATCAATTCATAACATTATACATTTTGAATCGATCATTTTGATATAAACAAATTATAAGCTCTTTCTCAAAGATAAAGAATTAAGAAATTTGCTTCTGTTTTGATTAAATTTTCCTAGAGTTTCAATTTAATTTTATTGCTCATCCCTATTACATTACGTGGAAGTGGAATTTCATATTTTCCATTCTTTGAAACATGAAGAGGCTGAAGGAAATTAGATGGCTGAATTGAATTAAGGAAATACTAATGCATTAATAAGCATTGCTTCTCGTTTTCCTCCATCCCATAACCCCCTTTCACCGTAACAGAAAGCGACAAGAAAAGTAAAATAGAAGAAGAAGAGTGGAAAAGAGAACAGAAAGAAGAGAAGAAAAAGATGAGATGGAGAGGGGAAAAGGAAGAAATATGGGTAGAGAAAGAATTTTAGATTTCTTATTTAAATTTTGAAATTTTGGTATTTTTCTTAATCGATTTATTTCAAATCAAAGTGGTAGGTTAGTCGTATGAGAGATACTTTTATAATTTACAAAAAAAAAAGAAATTTTGAGGCATTTGTTTTGAAAGGGTAAATCATCAAGTGAGTAAAATATGCAAATTTTTAATACATATAATAATTTTTTCTTCAATCTTCTGCAAATGTACTTAAATGTAAAGTAGATTGATGATTACAACAAACTGTAAAATCTTCATACTATTAAATGTAGCTTATATAGTTCAGATATATACAATAAAGTGTAGGAAAAACACTATTAGACAACTTGATCAAATTAAATAAAAAAATTAAAAATTTATCAAACACCTCAAAAATCAGCACAACACAAACTAATGACCAATAATGATAAATGTCATGCCCAGACTTAGAAGTTTAAAATTTTGAAAATAAAAAAAATGGCAGGAAAATGAAAAAAAAATTCTATCGTTAAATAATCACCCATATATAATGAAAGAACTATTAATAAAAAAAATAATTAAAATAAATTACTTGCCTCCAAATTGACTGCGTCTTCAATAAACTTATTTTTATTACTTATTTTCTAATTGAACATGTTTAGTCTAAACTAAAACGAGCTATCAACCATCTAGTGAATACTCATTTTTTAAAATCATATAAATATAAGAAAATAGAAGCAACATGCATGCTAGTTAAATCATATTACTTCAGTACACAAAAAGAACTAATATCTTTTTATTATGATTTAGAACATTAAATAGTACAGTATAATAACTTATATTATCTATATCATTTATATCCTTCACAAGAGTACCTTCTAAGTTATACCAATTAAGATATATCAATATCACTAACTTTTTTCAGCTTATATGCACACATGTACCTTAACCTTTCCAGCTAGAATAATAAAATGAACTTTATCAATCAATTAAGCATATAAAAGCACTCCATAATTCAACACATTCGCATTCTCACATCATATAATATTCTAGCACATATAATAAGTGCAAATATATATGATATTCATTTCAACATGATCAATTTATAGAATAGAAAAATACTAGAAAAATATGCAATTATAACCATTTTAAGTAACCATGACATCTCACACAAAGTGTAGAAGAAAAGATAAATTTATTATAACTAAGAAACAATGTTTTTTATTTTTTAATTTTTTACTGTAATTAAAAAATATGAGTACTCACCACAATCATAAGTCAATAACCTGATTTCAAATCTTTTTTATTTCGGCTTCATCTTCTCTAATCTGATACATATCAAAAGGGTTCATCATAATTAATTCTATATTTCACTATTATTTCTTTCTTATAATATCATTAACCTTTTAATTTAATACATTATAATAAATACATGAATCCTAACATTCACAATAATTGCATTTTTTAATTACACTCACCTTTAATATTTCTATAACTATTTTAACCTATAAATTTTGAGAAAACTAAAACAAAATTCAACTTATAATTTCGAATATAAAAAATATTAATTAGTCATATTACTTTTTAAAAATTTATTTCACTAAATTATATCCAAATTCCCACAATTTTCATATTAAAATAAATCTTAATTAAACAATTTCAAATTATTGAAATGCTCGAATCATACAATAAAAGTCTACTTCTCCCTCTTTTTTTCCAAAGTAATCAACTATCATTTCCGATCAAAAGCCCTAAAAATAATCAGAGTTAATAAACTAAAATAAATATCATAATTAGAAAAATTACCTTATGTTGATCGATTGTTGCCCTAATTCAGATAGTAGACGAACTTGGCACGAGTAACGCCCCACCTTCATTTTTCTTAACCCAATCTTTCTCGTCTGTTTGAGCCGTGTTAAGCTTGCCCGCCCTCGTTTACGCAACAACACAAAGGCGCATGAAATGCTCTGCACATGCACAGTTCTCGTGATCATCCACCGATGTTTAACTTCCTTGCTGTTAGAGATCTCATTTAATCTTGATCACCTTTTTCTATGCTGCCCGGATACTGACATGGGGGCACGAACACGACACGGGAGACATCTAATATTTAAAACATAGAACAAAAACACACGTCGAATACACGAAAATGATAATAATAATAATAATAATATTATTATTATTATATATGTTTTTAAATTAACAAAATATTATGAATAATGCAATAGAGAAAATAAGAAATTTAATAAATTTAACTTCTAAAAATTAATAGCTTATATGTTTTTATTTATTTTATTATTTTTTTTAAATTAATTTGTATTTAAAAAATAAAAAAATTTATTAAAATATTTTGAGAAATTTTAACAAATTACATCAACCAAACATGCTTTAATTTAAATCAAAATAAAAAAATAAAAACAAAAAAAAAATAAAAAATAAAAATAAAAATAATCCCAATCAGTCCATGAGATGTTAACCGACTTCTTATGTATTTACATAATTGCAAATATAAATTTTATTTTTTTATATTTACGCCACCAAAATCATTCATATCAAATCTAATATAACACTACTTTCAATTTAAAAAAGTGACATTTTCATATATGTGTGTGAGTGTGTGTGTAAGGTAGCATATATGTAAAATATGAAATTCGTCTCAAATACATACATACATAAAAAATTGAGAGTTATGTATGTAAATCTTTCTTAAATTTTATATAATAATTTTATTTTTTGTCTTAAAAATGATTTTCAAAAAATTTAATTCAATAATTTTAAACACATGTCTGACACGCGTGTTCTTCGCACCCTCTTTTATTTTAAATAATATTTAAATAAAAAATTTTTATGCAATGTCTAATACCTATCGGATCACGACCCTTCCCAGAGATTGGAATTAACTAATACGGGAATAGACAGGTGGACAGTGGAAATTAAAAATTTTCTATATTCATTATATGACTAACATTTAGAAAATGAAAGAGCCACTAAAAAAATTAATTAAAGTAATACAGTTAGATTTTACTTTATTTTTGGTTATCCCTAACACCTATCAAACTTTTCTTGTCTATCGCCCATCTTTTAATATATTAATCAAATCTGAAAAAGTTAGTCCAAACAACAGTCAACTAAACAAAGCTAATGAATACTCATACTCCTAAACTATAATAACCCAATGAAAATGGAGACAATATACATGCCAATTAAACAATATAAAAATATAAGGACGTTTGATGGTTTGTACTATCTAATATAATCATTCAACGTGATTTTAAACTTTCACTATATCTTACTATATCGTTTACATATCAAATTTTTTAATCTGTATACATTTATTAAATGAGCGCCGTCTAAAAATTGTACAATTTAAGGTACTTTAATATCAATATCATTTTCTATTTACGTGCACGGGCTCACTAGTACCATAAAAAGGCATTATATCATAATCAAACATACACATGCAAGCAATCCAAATAATAAATCTCTTTCTTATTATACCATTCAATAATCTAAACTATACATTTAAATATAATGCAAATATCAGTGAAATACACTCAATAAGATCAAAATGAAATTGAAGAGCCAGTAAAATTAATCTAAGCAAGTCATTGAGCGAATCAAACATATAAAAAATTAATATTACTATAAATTAAAAGTATAAGTACCCACCTCGCTTTCAGATGATTTTTATTTGCTTTTAAATTCTAAAATCTCTTTCACAATTGAATATCTATCACCAATTATAAAGTATTATCTAATTAAATTATCACTACAATTTAATACCCTAATTTGACATAAATTTATGATTTAGATATTAAGAAAGTATAATTTATCTTATTATCAAATTTAACAATTATGTATTTAAAAGTAAAGTAACTCTCAATTAAAGTTCTACCTGAATTAATTCCTCGAATCTACTGATATGTCTGCCCCGTTAGGCACATAAACAAACACAAAGTCCTTGCAAGTCTTCCCTACCAAAACTAATATAATTTCATCTTAACATTATCGTAGAATTAAAGATTTAATCAACATAAATTAGATGCATAATTGAAATTTACCTGAATTCCTTCTATTACAAAGTGAACAAATCCTTTGTAAACTTCTTTAATCATTCATTTATTGTTCCCAATTCCTCCTTCTATTTTTTACAATTTTGTTTAATAAAAAAACATACGTATTCATTTCATATAATTAAAAATTTAAATTACACTAACTTGCCTCGGTTCGGCTTCTCCTTTGCACGTTGACACTTCCCCTCCTCTTCTTTTCTCTGCTTTATTTGTTTCTACTTCACTCTTATTTTGTTTGGTCATCCCGCACAGAGCACTTCCGATTTCTTCCTCCTTGCACGAGACCACAAACAAAGCTTGGTTTTGACTTCCCCACGCCGTCGCCCTCGTTTGCTCGATGATAGGTTGTCCTTCTATCTCGCTCACTCAGCTTCCTTCCTTCTCCTTCGCACCTCTACTTATTCCTTCGGCTTCTCGAACCCGCAAGGTAGGGCTAGAAATTACCCCGCCTTTCTCCCTCCTCCTCTGCCTTAGGTCGCGGGCACGGTGTCGTCACCTTGGGTTCAAATCGACCATACTGAGAAACACAATGCTTCTCTTATGCCTTCGATGCAATACCTTGCACATTGACGAAACCTCAGCGTCATCTCCGATGTCAACAAACTTCTCCTTTTATCATCTACGCTTCGAAACTGATTGCTGCCCTCCATCTCACAGTCCTGCCTCTAGTGTTATACAATAAGTATTCTTCCTTATCGTATTTCTCCCCCACCTTCTCTTTCTCCTCTTCTTCTTACTTTTTTCTTGGCTTCTGCTCTCTCCAAAAGGGACATGACTTGCACAAAATAAATAAGTGTTTATCCATGTCTATTCAATTATTAATTTTATTATCATTTTTTTTTCAGGTTATTACATGTCGATGACTTTTATTCAATTATTAATTTTATTAACATTATTAATTCTTGGCTTCTGCTCTTTAATTAGAAGTGTTTGTACATCATTTTGCTCGTGAGAGAGCACTGTTCACAAAACACCTAATCAAGCTAACCCCCTTCTCGTGTAATCATCTGCTCACTTTGATTCTTGCTTGAGGCCCACACAATGCTCCTGCACCATTCAACTTCATTGTCACGTGATGATCATTCTCCATGCGACCCTCAGACACGCATGCAGGCATGTTGCCTGTGTCGTCGCGCTCTTAATTTGATTGCATGAGGGTTGCAACCCCTCTCTCCATCTACTTAATTGTGTGTTCTTTCACTTCGCCTCCATTGCATTCAAAATGCTAGCACGCTGGCAGAAATATTTTTTTTTTATAAAGAATGTTACAGTATATAAAGCCGACCACAAGGAACTGGGATAAAATTAATGAAGAGGATAACTATCTCAACAAAAATCCTTAAAATATCAATGCCTGACAATCTTTTATTTAAAAAAATGCTGCATAATTTGCTTTTCAAATGAACATTTAAAAAAGGTGTTTGATCTCTTAATTTGGCGTTGAGAATAAAAAAAATTGTCCTTAGAATAAGATGTGCAACAAAGTTCATATTTCTTCAAGATATTAAGATCTACTTAAAACTTCATAGAAGGGGATGAACATCCATGCACATATTAAGTAGAGGCCCTTTAAAAAATAGCAAGATGAATGGCAAACTGAAGGAGGATATCCTAACCCCAACTAATATTCAGTAAGAACAATAAATCTGAGATTGCATGCAACAAGAAATAGGAAGATAAATAGATCATAAAATGCATGATAAAGATATCTAAGCCTCTTCCTACCACTCCTCTCGTTTTTCTCTAATCATACCCATCAAGTAGCAGTATGCCAGCTACCTAATATTTTTCGACTTCCAAATACTCATATCCTCTTTTGTATCTCAGCAAAAGACAAAAACAAACTTGACTCCAGCTAAAGAGTAAACATATTTCATACCTAGAACTTCAAAGAATCACAACAAAAGCATTAGAAGATGAGGAACAAACATAAAATAAAAAGAAAGTACGTTTTAAATCAAATAACACAGAAGGATGCCTTACAATCAAACTGGTCAAGTCCAACCTATCCACCTCGTTTATAAGAATCATTGCTGCTAATCCACAAAATGTGTACCTTCATATGGCATTAAAAAGATTACTGTGGCAAAAGGCATTTTTATTTATTACAAATACTCAACTATTTTTAATTTTTTTTTTTTGTGTGTCACGAGTGATAATTAGAAATGAAACATAGCTTCACGTGAGAGAAACATACCCACCATGAGCTTCAGAACCCGGTTCTCCAGCAATACCACCTTCATATGTTTGGCATCTATAAAGAAGAAAGTATTGATCTGATTAAAGTTGTCACATCTCTGAAAAGACACAAAAAACCAATAATAAAGAACATAAGCACGGATAATCAATACCAAAGCAGCTTCGAAATTTATTAAATCATTTAGCTAATAATAACAAAACAAATTTTTATAATAAAGTAACTAAAAATATACAGAAAGGAGAAAAACAAGTGAACCAAAAAGAGCGACAAAAAATTCAATTTTGAAACAACTTGTTCCAGGCCAAAACAAAAAATTGAGAGCAGTACATATTTTAAGCTTTATCATGCGATACCGTAAAAAGTAAAATAAGCTGATATGTTGTTAAACATTGAAAGGACTGCTATATTTCAGTATAATTCACGGTCCTTTCAACTTTAAACATGAAATTACTGTTTGAGCACCATACTCTTCATAAAGTAAACTAAAAAATTCGCTTAAATACAAAAAATTAAATAACTAGTTAACAACATACCTAGGACCAAATAACATTAGCATGCACACGTGGGAAGTCAGGAGCATCTTAATGCATCAATAACTGTACGGCCAAAACCACGTAATATTAATTTCTACATGCAGTTTATGATGTGGAACAACATCAAGGATTTGACTGACAAGACAATTTCTTAAAGTATCCTTCCCGTGGGAAAAGAGTTTACGAAAGTCATTCCCATGAGAAAACAAAGGGAAAAATAGAAGCATTTAAAACCATATTTCCGCTAACGTGCCACACTAAATCAGAAAGCAACTCCAGGCATACATGCACCAAAACTTCTATATTGATTCCGTTCCAATGTTTCAAATTTCAAATAACTGATAGAAAGATCTCTGGCCAGAAATTGGAAACAATGTTTTTTAAGAAAATCAAAACTATCAACAAGTTACAGAAGACATCAAAGAAAATTGGACTTGAGCAACTAGAAAAGGAAAATAATAGGATTGTTAACTTGAATTTAAACCAAGTTTAAAATCCTACATTAATAATTCCGAGAATAATTCCAATTCATGTAGATGTTATCTGGCAAAGTTTAAAAAAAATATAATCGCCAAGTACAATATTATAAAATAAGTATTCACCTTAGAATGTAATCTCCAACACCTTTTACAAGTTCGAAATCCAAAATGTTTAATATACTTGCAACCTGTTATAAAAAAAAAGGTAAATAATATCAAAAATTATGTACAGAAACCAAATTTTTATGCAACATAATTATATACCCATGCACCAAAAAAATTCACTCGTTCGATGTTCTGAAATTATCAAAAGAGAAGGGTGATTAAAATGTGACGACTTCTTAAATCCATGGTGAAAGAATAAGTTAAAAATTCCAATGAGATTAACAATGAACTTGATGCTCCACATTTTTTTTAAATAAACTTGCGTCTATGCAAAAGATAGCAAGGCCCCTACTTGTATAACTTTTAGAAGTACTAACCTCTATAACTATTCCACAATTAGATGAACAGGTCAAAAATGATGGAGCGAGTGTAATGGTACATATTTCCATTTAAAAATGCTTCGCTTAAATTATAAGAACACTCAAGCAGCATCTGTTTTTCAAACCAAGTAGCGTTGATGCATTCAAAATACTGAAAATCGTGAGAAAAGACTCCCCATATCATTCAAATTGATGCCAGAAAATAGATCGTTCTATTCAAGCTTTCACACGCTCTGATCAAATTTTTATTTATTCTAGTCAACATAAAGACACACCTATTCATAGACCGCTAGTGACCTTTCTGCCCAGCTTACCCAGTGGTGATATAAAAAAGAAAAAGTGACTATTTCTTCATCCTCACCATATCGCAAAATTTGTAGTTAATGCCTAACAAATTTTTATAAAAATATCATATACGCCTCGTTTGATACAAGGGAGAAACCAAATAGTGTGCACCTCCTTGCGTAGGTGACCACACACATATTTCTCAGCATTATGGAATAGTAGATTGACACAGGCATTTGCTAGAGCAGGACATGGGTAGCATCCTCCTTCCGTGGGAGCCGAACTCTTGAAAGTGTATCGGTCCAATTGATTGGACCAGTTCAGCCTCTTAGTCCCCATGGGGCTGGGGTCCTATTTTACTTGATTAGGCTATTAATTAGGTTACCTTTTGTTGGGATATTTAAATATGTTGTTGTGTTGTTTGGACACTTTTTTTGTTTTGGTTTTATGTATTAGAGATTATTTTTTTGGTTCCATCTTGTTGGAGTGTTGTATCCTTTGATATCTCTCAGTTGGTGCATCCTAGAGCCCTATTTACATGATTACGCTATTAAGTAGAGTTACATTTATTGGTAGACAATTAAATATGTTGTTGTGTTTTTTTGAACATTTGTTTAGCTTTTATGTTTTAAAGATTATATTTTTTGTTCCATCTTGTTAGAGCGTTGCATCACTTGATATCTCTCAGGTGGTGCAATGTAACCCAAAAGGATCTAGGTGATGAACTCTCTAGGACATTCGAAGACCTTCCTCCCTCTCCAAACTAGCGGCCAAGTGATGTTTGACTGCCGCAGCATGCTATTTTCCTGCAATTGAATAGCTGTCCAATACTAGTTCTTGTAGGGTTGCTCGCCATCTTCACTATTTTACCTTCCGTTCTTCATCTGAACATTTTAACCACTTCGTAATTCTTTCACACCGTATAGTAAATATATATCGATGTCATCTGGTATCAGAGCTTGAAAAACTCTAAATATTTAGAGATTTGTTCTTCCAAATTCCTAAACTTAAAATCCCCATAACATAATACCTTCGTAAGACCATTCTGATACCTACCATAATGCATAAACCCACGGGCCTCGGCCAACCTTTAAAACAGAATCCTACAGCTTTTGTATCTCTAAAATGAGGACCAAGTTACTATGCCACAAAAGAGAAACCCTCAACGAGATGCTGAAGAGCTTACCATGAAGGAAATACAGCAAAAAATCCTTCAATTATAGCGGAAAATCAGTAACTTCGAACGGAGGCTCAATGACTTTAAAAAGAAGCAACAAGAGAAATCACCCACGGCAATAACAGTGATTACCAAGATAGAGAAGTAAATCCTTTTCACCAAGAAGCTTCAGATGACAAATTTAGTATTGGAGGAGAGATGATGATACTGGAGTGAAGGTGAATTTACTAAATTTTGATGGTCGCATGAATCTGAACAAGCTCATTGAGTGGCTAAAGATAGTAGAGCGGATTTTCAGTACAAATATGTTCCATCAAACAAAATGATAAGCTAACTGCCATTAAGTTAAAAAAGGGTGTTTCCCGGTGGTGAGAAAATTTAATGCACTTGCGTCAGCTAGCATGAGAGAAAAAACAAAATCACGATCCAAAATAAAGAGGGAGATGCAGAAAAAATACCTATCAACACATTACAGACAATATGTTTTTTTAAGATTTCACCATTTCTAGCAAAATAATCTGTCGGTAGAAAATTACGCCGCTGAGTTCGAGTAGATTATACTATAAGTTAGTGGAATTAGAGAATAATATCATGGCTCAATGTCTTGAAAGATTGAGGCAATCCATTAACAATGTAGTGCAACTACAACTATATTGGACCTTACAAGATGCTCAGACCTTGGCTCAAAAAATTGAGAATATGATTGTAACAACAGGTCCACACAAACCTTCAGTTAAAGTTAAACCACTGGATCGGGCAGCAGAAGCATATTGACCAGAGAGCCAAGGACTATCTTCCATGAGGAGAAGACAACATAGAAGAAAAAGAAGGTTGCTCAGGCCAACACCCTCAAGTAATTTCCAGCCATGAACTACTTGAAGTGTCATGAATATGATCTTATTGCATCCAAATGCCCCAATACGAGATAACTTTCCTTTACTGAGTAGGCGACAATGGAAGAAATATATAGTGAAGACTCAACAAAAGAGAATACAAGAGGGGTGTATCAATTATCCACAGATAATGATGACATCCTTATGGGACTGTGAGTTTTTTAGACCTAGCGCAAGGATCAAAAATGGCTTAAACATAACTCGAAAGGGAAGGTGTGTAACACACTACAAAAGGAGGCAGTTGTGAGAGCTTAGTATCTACACATATAATGGCTAAATTGAGCCTAACTACCCAAAAGATTTTCAGCCATATCCATTACTTGGCTGAGGAAAGAGAATGAAATCAGTGTTGACAAGAGGTGTCACATAGAATTTAAAATTAAAGATAAGTTACATGTGATGTGAAGTGTTTAAGGATGCCGTCACATTCTTTTGGGCTAAATGTGACAATATGATAGTGGTACACTTTATGATGATCATAAAAATATCTAGTTGTTTATCTAGGTTGAAAATTATATTATACTTCTATCATTGAAGAAGTCAATAATAACAAATATTCCAATAAAGATAAGAGTTATAATGCCTCATGCTATATTTCTATAATCTATAAGAGAGACAAATGGGACTGGCGTAGATGAGGCTAGCAAGTAGTGATACAAAGGAGCTGAATCTAAAAAGAATGTGACCCATATTATAAAAATTCCAGGATGTTCTGACAGATCTGTATTAGCACCCCTACGAGAAATTCAGTATGTCATAAATCTCATTCCAGGATCAGTGCTCCCCAACTGACTACTCTGCAAGATGAGAGCAACTGAGTACGAGGAGTGATAAAGCAGAATATAGACTTGATTGTTAGATGATTGGTTCATTAGAGTATTAGCTCATGTGTTATATGACTAGAGCATAAGTCATGATGGCTACATAACACATATTCCTTCACCAAATATAATTAGTGCATCATACTGTTAATTTGGATGAAATCAGAGATAATGTGTGTTCGTTCAAAGTTTGAGGTGATAGTACCATGAGCAATCTTTCTATAAGCCTTGAGTGAAGCACCAATAAGAATAAGGTAGCCCTAAAAGATGGTGAGTCTAATAAGTCAATACCATATATTGTGTAAGCCTTGCTAATAGAGTTCCAAGATATCATGCCCGATATTCTCTCCTAGAATGCAACCATTAAGTGAGATACATTATGTCATAAATTTCTTATTAAGGTCTATTCTTCCAAACTGACATGTCTACTGAATGCACCCAACTGAGTAAGAGGAATTGCAGAAACAGGTTACAGATTTGATATCCAGAGGATTGATATATATGAGTACTAGTTGCGTGTAGTTTCAAATTTGATTATGCCAAAGAAGAATGACTCTTGATGAATAAAATCAACATCAAGTATTGGTTCTCCATTTCGAGATTGGATGACTTTTGGATCAATTATATAGAGTCAACATCTTCTCTGAGGTCGATTTATATAGTGGTTACTAGCAAATTATGATAAGACTAAGAGATAACTGAAAGACAGCTTTCAAGGTACGAGATTAACTGCATAAGTGGATGGTTATGCCTTTTAGCCTGCCAAATGCCCAGAGTACCTTTATTAGGTTGATGAATTAGGTTTTTTCAAACTTTTATTAGAAAGTTTGGGATTGTGTATTTCGATAATAACTTAATGTACAATCTTTTAGAGGAGAAACATTTATAGCTCTTGCAATGGGAGTTTAGAGTTATTAGGACACAACAATTGTATGATCACAAGAAGAAGTGTCATTTTTTGACACCACAGACGTGCATTTTTTAATAAATATAGCTTTAGCAACTTACATAGAAATAGACCACACTAAAATCGAAGTTATTATGAATTACCCAACCGAAAGTCAATCACTTAGGTATATCAATTCCATGGGTGACTAATTTTCTATTGTACTTATAAAAAATTTTAGCTCGACAACACCTTTATAGAGCTTTTCAAGTCTAAGCGATTTGCTTGGTTAGATGAAGCACAAGCTAGCTTTAAGGCTTTGAAGGAGTAGGTTACTCATGCCTTTTTCTCGATTTTCCACACTTCAGTCAAGTGTTCGAAGTAGAGCGCGGTGCCTCTAATGTGGGGATTGGAATTGTGTTGAGCCAAAAAGGACATACCATCGGCTTCTGTGGTGAAAAGTGAAAGATTCTAAGAGAAACTACTTATGATTAGAAGTTTTATGTCAATGTTAGAGCTCTCAATCACTGAAGTCACTATCTACTAAAAAATAAGTTAATAATTTTAATTGATAATGATATCTTAAGGTTCCTCAATAATCAAAGCATACTAAATGGTAAACATGCATGCCTCCTGGGTGG